TTTTTTTTTTTGCCAAAAATTCTCTCACGATGATCGACGAACGTACGTCGAATTATGCACGAATGATGCTCATACTAATCTTCAACTCGTCAGCTATCATTCTTAACACGTTCCGTGGCAAGCGATTTTTGCCTTTTGTTGTCGTTCAGGCCATGTCAAAAATGTTGTAGAAAGCACACATTGTAATTTAACACGTTCCGTGTCAAGCGATTTTTGCCTTTTGTTGTCGTTCAGGCCATTTGATATTAATGTAGGAAATGAAAAGATAGTTACGCCGAAATCAAGAAGTTCCGTGCCAAGCCATTTTTGCCTTTTGTTGTCGTTCAGGCCATTTGATATTCTGATTGATATATTATCAATCGATAAGTAGTTCTCTTGTTTAGAGTAGCTATCACATCGTGTACCACCTGTGGTAATACACGTGGCCTGAAGATTCCAGTTTATTAACGTGTACCACCGGTGGTACACATGGCACGGAACGTGTTAACTTCATATGCTTAGAAAGAAAATTAGTAGCGAGAAGAAAGAAAGTAATGTTCTTAATATCCAAAGCAATGTTCTATAAAGCTCGAATCTTCGAAGCTTCGAGGCTTGACACCAAAGAACTACCAAAATGGTCAAAATGACCAATTCATAATTTTTGTTGGATATTTTACAGTGTATTTTTAGAAATTTTAATGATTTTCCGTAGAATGTAAGTCCGTAGAAGTAAAGTTCTTTATTATTATTATTTTTTTTTTTTTTTTATGGAAACTACGTTTTTAGGATTATCTATTATCGTACAAAACTCAAGTCTCTAAAGACTCGAGATTAAAGTAGACATACGTGACATTTCACTATTTAAAGTACCGTTGACAATCGTCATTGTGTGCAATCCAGAGGTCTTCGAGTTTAAGAGAGTTAAGGATTCAAGATTTTTAGTAGCGAGAAGAAAGAAAGAGAAAAGAAAGGAATCAAGCCTGGCTGACAAAGATGTTACATCTGCGCCTGCGATAAACATGGACAGTGTGTTGTAGAGGAATTAACAACGAAGGAGGGAACGCGGGTGTGTGTTGCGTCCCAGACGAAACAGACGAAACAGACGAAACAAAATTAAACGATCGTAATTCAAGGATACTCGAGAGTCGCGTTTCAAAGAATCATCAGCTGACTTCCGAATCGTACGAGTAATTAACGACGAATCATCAATCTTGCAAAGGTCAATGGTCTGAATTATCACGTAGATTATTACCTTTCTACTAGGTTCTAAGATACAGATACTCTGTATTGTGATGTGGCACAACGAAATAAACGGAGGGAGGAATTCGTTTTTTATCAGACTCTGCTTACTACTCGTCCACGATCAATGCATGAATGGAAGTCGAGAGACACGCGTAACGAAATAGCGGCACATATACATGTATGTAGGTTCATGCAGCACGACACGACGACCACTGCACGGCAGCAGCATCATACTTGGAGCGGCTATTAAGCGGCGTGTAGCCGAAAGACCTAAAGACGCTCGTTGATCGAATCATTGACGCTGAGATGCTTGACGCGCGAACCGTGCACTACAGGCACAAGTGACACGGTGCCGATTGTTAAGGCAGCGACGCTCGACACGAGTGGAAGAATCGCAAGTTCGGAAGAACACACGAGTGGTTTGACAGATCCGCGGGGTCGATGCCGCGCATTAATCGCGAAACAACACCTACGAGAAACTCACCGACGCCGTATTTGGTTGTTTTCGTCGTCGTCCACATCTCGAGCGGCTCGACGACGGCGCTACATGCCTTGCCAAACTGCCACCAACCACTCGTAGTATCACGAAAAATTCGAAAACACAAACATTGGGTGTGTTTGCCGCACAAGTGCCACCCTCGCGATTCTCTCTCTCCCTGCTGCTGAGCAACGTTGCCGATGGCCGCTGCGTGTTGTAGCTGACTGCCGGCAACGCTGCTGCTGCTGCGCCGGTCATGTGCTCCTCAGGGACGTATCTAGTCGGAGACCGGATCCCATTAGCTTCTCACGCGTTTCTAATTTTATCTTTCTGCATGTTTCATCTCTTTTGCGTCATTTCATCACGCTGGAATCTGGTTTTATCTGAGCTGATCGGTTGACAAGGCAATTTCGTTAATGATGATATAGTTATCTAGCTCGTTATTATCGAATGCCAAGATTATCTGCCGGCATTTGCAACTGTTTGTTTCGATTTATTTTGAATAAAAATACAGTGATACATTTGCTTGGTTGTTCGATATCGTTACAAGTGTATTAAATAGAACTTAGTCGAGGCGGATGTTTTTTTTTTTATCGGAAACCGAGAAAGGAAATTTCGACAGTAAAGTCATAAAAACTTATCTGTGTACACTCCTCAGATTACTGAAACCTATCGCAAGTTTTTTTGTACCCTTGAATGTTTTTGTGATGGACCGTAATTTTATTTATAATAAATACAATAATTAAACAATGAAGGTAAATCTACTATAAAAGATGTGGTACTTTCATATATTCTCTTACATTTTTATTTACAGTTTCTTCCTTATGTAATTAAACGATGATGAAATCTAGCGTGCAACGTGACACGTTTCAAACACACTTGGAAGTGAACGTAGTCTAGATCGAAGCTACGATGAGTCAAAATATTGTTTCACAGATTATTTATACATATATTTAAAAGTTGACGGGTTTTCCGAAATACGCAGCTAAGTTGGCTTCCTTGAAGGCTTCTGCGAATGTCTGCAAAAACAACAATAAAATCAGCATTTCTCATTCAACGTTCAATGGAATATCATTCAATTATTTACCGGATGTGCATGACATGTTCTTGCAACATCTTCTGCACTTGCTCCATATTCCATTGCAAGAACTGCCTCGTTAATCAGTTCACCAGCACACGAACTAATCATATGTACACCCAATATTTTGTCTGTATTTTTATCCGCTAAGATTTTAATAAAACCTTCCGTCTCAGCATTTGTTTTTGCTCTGGAATTTGCTAAATATGGGAATTTCCCAACTTTGTATTCGATACCCTCCTTCTTTAAATCTTCTTCCGTTTTGCCTACCCAACCAACTTCTGGATGTATGTATATTACGCTAGGTACACAATTATAATCAATGTGAACGGCACCTGAAACCATAATGTTTGTAAATCTCTCATGATCCAAATAGAAAGATCGATATGTATTTTCCAATTACCTCCAGCAATGCCTTCAACTGTAATAACACCCTCGTCCTCAGCTTTATGAGCTAACATTGGCCCGTGAATGCAATCTCCAATAGCATAAATCCTAGGCGAACGTAATTTTATGTAAAATCATGGTGATAGAAAAGTTTATAAAAACGGTATACACTTACGAAGGTACTACTGTCTGGAATCTGTTGTTTACAGGGATCCTGCCCTTTTCGTCTCTTTCGATTCCTAAATCTTCTAATCCTAAATTCGTTGTATAAGGCCTTCTACCAACACAGACTAAAAGTGTATCGCATGTCAGTTCCTCCTTTTTGCTTGGATCTTTCACGTTTTCAACGGAAACGATGATGTCACTGCCTTGTCTTCTTGCTCCAGTGACTTTTGTTCCCAATTTGAGATTCCATGAATCTTTAACTAACATTTTTTGTATCGTTTGACTAACTTCGCCATCAATACCTACTCCACCAACAGTTGGTAAAAATTCAACGGCTGTTACTTCAGCACCTAATCTACAGTGATTGAAAAATAAAGTAATTGAAGATATCTTGTTTAGGACTTGTATGATTAATTTCATTGTAAAGAATACCTCTGCCAAACTGAGCCTAATTCCAACCCAATAACACCAGCGCCAATTACTATGAACTTTTTAGGTACTTGACTTAACGATAAACATCCAGTGGATGAAATAACTTGTTTTTCATCAAAGTCTAGACCTGGGAACGGTGTAACTTCACTGCCAGTGGCAATTATAATGTTTTTAGTATTAATTGTACTTATTACTGAACCATCAGGACCAAGTGCATTCACTTGATTTGGACCAGTAATTTTCCCATGACCCTTAACCCATTCTACCTTGTTCTTTTTGAATAAACTAGCAATACCACCTGTTAAAGCTTTCACTGTATTTCGTTTTTGTTCCATTACTCTTTCAAGATCAAGCTTCACATTGTCGACTGAAACAGAAAAGTAATGTTAGTAACAATAAAGTTATGAATAGTTTGGAAAAAAGAAAAAGAATTAAAAGTGTACCCAGAATGCCAAATTTCTTCAATTCACCGGCATGTGCTAAATGATAATAATGTGAACTATTCAGCAGAGATTTGGATGGAATGCAACCAACATTCAGGCAAGTTCCTCCTAATGTCTCCCCTTTTTCTATACAAACAGTTTTCATTCCTAATTGTGCTCCTTTAATTGATGCTACATATCCACCAGGACCACCACCTATTACTACAAGATCCGCTTCTATTGTGCTGGCATATCTGCGTTGTTGCGCAGCTGTCAAGCCAGGTACAATACGTTTGACACATGTTGGCTAACAAGAAAGAGAAAACAAAAAGGGGAAAGTTATTGTTCGAGAAAGTTATTTCCTATATTTGTATGTTCCATTTGTAAGTATCATTGCACCTATGTTCCATCATCTCTGACAAAGTCAAAAGTAGGTGACATAACCAACGAAGAGAAGAGAATGTACTTTTTACATTGAATAATCAATTGAAGAAACCAATTCTGCTTCCTCAAAGATCTAATCAATGTCTCTATTTAAAAAAATATAAGCGATAGCAGACTAGTGAAATAATGTATGCAACAAAAGCATTTGTCCTTCAAAATGTTACGAAATAGACTAACATGTATGATCTGAGGTGATTGTGATGCATCCACGAGGTCATTTGGTCGTAGGTATCTTTCTTTCTTAACTTACTCTGACAGAAGTGGTCACCAAACTCCAAAGGCTAGCTTGCATCATTTTATTTGTAACGTATTTTACTATCCAATATAAAGGGGGTTCAAAAAGGAACAAACTCTCGGCAGTGAAAAACGAGCACTACCGGTTAGTTCAATATCATCTGACTCGCCTGAGCTCTGATAATTCGATACTCGATATATCGTTCGCTACATACTTTACAGTCTGTACTGCTTGATGGCGCTAGTGATCTATTATGCAACATGAAACGACATTAACCCTTTCGTTAACCATCCGATATATTTGGACATAGATGAAATATAAAATAGATGGTGATATCTTAAGGGACTTTGTGTTACATGTTTTGAAATACCGATTGCATCGAAAAGCAGAGATTTTATTGTGCCATCTACGATTTAGAGTGACGAGCGTAGGAATTGTAAAACAGCAGGTTGACAAAGTTGAAAAGTGATAGGACTCTCTTACGATCGTATTTTGAAATTTAAATTCATTCACAAGGGACTCGCTAAAGGTACTTTTTTTTTAAACTTCGTGTTTCGAAATCGTTCCCAAGATCGATTTCTAAGGTTTATTTCGATAAAATATTTTCAAATTTATATTTCATAAATTAATCTATTCGATAAATGTAATGTTTCATTAAATAGAGTTACGACGCACGTTTAGGCTACTTTGTAATGACTAACTATTTTTCACGCGAGAATATCTAAGTCATCCTATATTGTTGGGGAAAGAAAAAGAGATACACACGCACAGTTTCCATTAAATTATTATCTTTTTCCATTTTCCACACGAATTTTTGTGCCATCGTCGCAGTTAAAAAAATGTTAAGAATTTCTGCCATCTCGCGGTCGGAAGACAAAAGAATGTCTTCTCGAGATGCAGCGTTCAAATCGATTTTACGCACAAGCGTAATTTCACAAGCATTATTCAGTTAATATTCAAGTTTACAAGCTAAGCTCCATTAAAATGCAACAATATTCATTCGCCGTTAAACAGGGTAACGATCGAAGAGGTGAAAAAGAGGGGATGAAACGAGCGAGACGAGCCAGCCAATGGTCGGAGGGACAAAGATAAAAAGAACGTTAGGGGTCGAGAGAAAAGGGCAACAGATGTCCTTCCGTATGACGCATGACTCGTTTGGCCCTTGGCGAGATAGTGCAGTTTGCGTCTCTCTAACCTGCGGAAGTATCGTACGTCACGGAAACGAAGCTAACCCTATCCTTAGAAGGAACGTTCCGTTAAAAGCCGGTTAGTACATACCATCTTTCGTGTCAACAAACGATACATACGATTTTCGTCATTTAATGCGTGACGATCTCGAAAGAGATGTCTGTCAAGAGAATTTGTCTCTTGCGTTTGTATCAGTTGTACGTGCAGCGTACTGATCGAACGTAATCTCATTATCACTATCGTATCCGTGATTGGTTGAATTTAAATTGTCTATATTTACCTACATTTTACCTTAATTATAATCGTATAATTTTACCTATAGTATCGTAGGTAAATCTGTTATTTCTACGTTTTGATAGGAACAGTCATTTCTAGAGATGTTTGATTATGATAATAAAAACAAGTATATATTTCGAAATGAAAATGAATAACGATAATGTATCGTTTTTAAGGATCGTCCTTAAGGATGTTTGGTCTGAAAATCTCGAGGAAAATATGAACGATTTGATCAATTTGCATTGAACAGAGAGAGAGAGAGAAAGAGAGAGAAATGTGCGAGATGATAAAGGGCCAGCGCAGAACGTTCCGTGACCAAGACCCTCCGCGAATATGCAACAGCAGCAACGAAAATTTCAAAAGCGAGTTTTGTGAATCGGTGAATCCGACCTCGCCGACGATCCTTCAAAGAGCGTCCAGCTTCGAGAGGTGTATCGGCGAGTCCAAGTATCACCTTGAGAAGGACAGCAAGCAAGATAAGAAAAACGAGGAGACAGGCTCGATCAAGCAGGATAGTGGTTGTTCAGATACCGTAGAACATACGACCGATAATGTCAAGATATCGAATGAACAGATTGATTCTGCGAATCAGACAAACTCGGAGAACTTCATCAAGGAGCTTTCTGACAAAGTGCCTTCTAACAGCCACCACGACGATGAGGTATGTTCGTACTACTTGCTCCTAACTCAGTGTGCTCTTGTAGAATTTTCGCGCGCTATCTCGCGTCTTTTATGCATGTGCTAGGTGGTGCCATTTTATAAACAGGGGACAATTTTAATACCCACTAACCTTCCTAACTTAATACAAACTTCACAGTAGTTTAATTCTATAATAAATCTTAGAAATTGAGAATGCCGAACGAAACGGGACATCAATTATAAAATGGCCCGAAATGAAACAGTGGAAATGCTCATGTATCACGTACCTGCGTATGCATCGCGATTGTTGGACCATTACGTGTTCCCGCGGCATTTGATAATACGTACGTTTAAACTTTACAATGCATCGTGACGAATCGTATGTATGATTGTTGCACGAGCATAAGCATAGCGAGCGATATTGAGTCAGGCAGTATTTTCAATGTTCGTATGCACACCATCTGTTTTCCGTTTATGTCCACGAAAACAACGTGTACGCTATGAATTGTGTATTTTTGGGCACATAGCTGATGGAACGGCTGCTGCAAGCTATACAATGTACACATTTGCCGCGAACTTACGAACGAGCCGCAGTTGTTAAAGACACAATTAAGCAAACTTGAGGTCACGGTGGATGGTACAGTGGTACGTGACCATAAATTTAACACTTCGTTT